AAATCACAATCGCGACAACTCTAGCATCCGAATCACCTCTCCATGACCGAAGACTCCGTTATTATCTTCGATACCACCTAGCAATCTCTTCAAGATCTCGCCCCTAACGGCTTTGCTAACCCTACACATCGACATCCGCTGTGGCGCTATCCCACATGGTCACCCGCAGCCTCTCAAGCAACACATCCCCTTCCACCCCCCCAGCCACCCCACCATCCTCCTCAAAAGCTACAGAGTTGCCACACGTCTTATTAGCCCCGCCATCTTCCGCCTCTCCTGCAATCATCGAACTGAACAACGACCTGATCACCTTTGACGCCAACGCCGCCATGTACCTCGGCCCAAACGAATGCCGCTTCATAACCTCCGGCCTCGCACAGCTGATTGACCGCGCCTTCATCTCTGCAACACGCTTCATAGGCGCGATGAACCACAACGGCGCCCTCCGCCTCCAACTCGACGTGCTAGTCCTGCAACAGAATCTGAAAAACATCATCGTACATCCTTCACCACCACCGCCATCCTCATCCTCATCCTCACACACCACCAAAGAAACCGTCGCCAAAAAGCCCTCTTCGCAACCGGAGCCAGGACAAGAAGAGGAAGTCGTCGCCCTCCCCCGCTCCGCCAAGTTCCTCGACTGGTTCCTCGACGGCGCGGAGAAAGCGCTCGAGAATGCGCAGGCCGAGCAGGAAGAGTTCAAGACGCACGGGGCCGAGAAGGCGCTGCAGGCGGGCAATGGGGAGCCGTTTACGTATGAGGAGATGAGGGTGTTGGTGGAATTGTGCTATTCAGCGATTCTGAAGGGACCTGCGGGCCGGGAGAGTAGTCGAGAGGACTTCTTGGCAGCGAAGAGGGCCTGTGGAGATGCGTTGTTGAGGTTGAGTGAGTTTATGTGGGATTCGTAGTGTGTGGGGAAGGGAACGGCGAAGGAATATCAGTTGCGTGTGTACATGTGTGTATGTTTGTTTTAGCAATTTCATTTCCTTTTTTATTTTATTTTATTTTTTTTTAGAGCTTGCTTCACATTTCTATTATTACCTTACCTACCCCATCTTCCGCCGTCGATGGGGATGGCATATTTATTATATACTCCGGCATGTAGCATAACACATCGATCGCTCCATCCGCACTACCACAACCTTCGAATTCCAATCTATTACTAAGTGGG